AGTTGACCGCATTCTCACTATTTTTTATTCTCATCGGTCGACAACCAGAAATAACATTGTCAAGAAGTTGATACAGCCTGTTTTGGTATTGCTTCCTTATCTGCTTAAGGATGTTTTCAAGGGTAATAGGAAGCTTGACCTCTCACTCACACCATACAGCTATGTCCGCCCCAGTAATGTGCCTCAGAACATAAGGATTGGTGATTGTGGTCCTTTGGCGATGAAGTATATTGAGTTGAAGGCTTTCAACTCATCTTTCGACACACTTGCTAACTTTGATGATGAAGCCGTCGACAATCTAAGGATGCAGTTGGCCTTTGATGTGTTTGAGTTTGGTATTCATCCGATACCGCTTTAACTATCTCGTAGAATGTGTACTTTACAAATTTCTGTTTTTAACCATTTTGACTTTTCTCTTTCATCTGCTTAAAACTATCTTCTATCTGTTTTGACTTTCTGTTATCTGCTTGAAACTATCTTTTTATTATGTTTTTATTATCGGATAATGAATGTTTGCTTTTTTAATTTCAACTGTCTACCCCCTTTTACTGATAGGATTTGACACTTTTGAAATTTTTTTACTATCACTTGCAAGACAACATCATTATGCCTTCATATATTTTAAGTAAATTTGGCAATTAAGTCAGGCTGTGTACATCCATTAACTGACATGATTTATACCTATCTACATTTGTGAACAATAATCTTCCTATATATGTATACAAATATTCATTATTCAGTATCCCATTTCAAATATTACATACTCTTATTTAATCAAAGTTTGCAATTGAGTGATTCTGTCTACATGCATTAACTGACGTGACTTATACCTATTTACATTTATGTAAAAAAATCTTGCTACATAAGTATAGACCAACATTCATTATTCAGTATCCAAAAAAAGAACTTCCTAAAATCTCACTTCAAACATGAGCTCTCCTTCTAACAGCCTCCATGAAATTTACCTTCCTGTAATCTTACCAAATCTTTTAACAATTTATGTGAACTACATTCCCATAAGCATCACCCCAATTTCGGTTTTAAGGGCCATGTTACAAGGCCATCATATGAATGATCTCTCTATGGAACATTTCCTTCTCAACCCCTCACTCGTTCTCCTTCACTCTCGTTTTAGAGCTTTATTGAGCTTTTACTAAACGGAGGTAATGTTGTCGCCAACTACTTGGAAAGCATTAGGCTTGCATGTAACCCCGAAACATTCAACTTTGGCTTACGACTCCTGTCAACTGTCGCTCCTTACCACCCATTCCCATCTTTTGCAGCGGCGCTCTTCTACGCTGTATCTCCTCTCGAGGGGGTAGCAATTACTGCTCGAGAAGAGTTTTGGGAAGTATTCCCAAACCTTTATTTTGCTGAAGACGTAGCTGCCGAAGTTATGATTCATATTGGTGAACTTTCTACCAACGATGATCTGGCGTTTTCTAATCCATGGTCTAACGTTTACCGCCCTCAATGCGTTGACCTCTGCTCCTTAGGTAATGTTTGCAAAGAATGTTTATTCTATTAGAACGCAATGGAGCTGTGTATATTTTTATAGTTTATTCTCTAATGTTTGGGGGTTTAATGTACGTACAGTTTCGTACGTATAGTACCTCGTCTTTATGTTCATGAACTCGGCTAAATTACAATGTTTGTAATATATCTCGGGGTATGTCTATTTCAATTGCTATGTACTTATATGATCATTTATGTTTGTAATGTACGTATATGTTATATCGCATTTGTATCAGTATGTCGACATGTAGCCATGGTCTTTCTTAATGTATTTCTTTACTAATGTACGTGTATTGTATATCCCATGTACCTATGTTCCATCTCACATGGTACGTATATCTTCTATCTCTTTTGTAAGGTTATGTTGACATGTACCCATGCTCTATCTTAATGTATTTCCTGATTAATGTACGTATATTGTATATCACATGTACCTAATTTCCATCTCACATGTACGTATCTGATTCTTCTCTGACTATGCCAGGTAAT